GTGAACTGTTTGTTCTAATGAGTTAAAGATGAATTAGAACCTAGTGATGTCACACTGGACCAAAACTGTGTCCACTACAGTGTCCACTACAGAGTCCACTACAGTGTCCATTACAGTGTCCACTACAGTGTCCACTGTGGACTGAACTGGACCATGGACTGGACCGTGGATCGTGGACTGTGGACCGTGGACCATGGACTGGACTGTGGACCGTGGACTATGGACCGTGGACCGTGGCCTGGACCGTGGACTGGACCGTGGACTGGGCTGTGGACCATGGACTGGCCCGTGGACTGTGGACTGGAGTATTTCTCTGCTCTATTTGGATCCATCCATGTTCTCATTTACAGGAAATTTGTGGAAATTGTTCTATTCCATTTTCTGTATGCTTGTGTGTGTGTGTGTGTGCGTGTGTGTGTGGGTGTGTGTTTGTGCGTGTGTGGGTGTGTGTGTGTGTGTGTGCGTGTGTGTGTGGGTGTGTGTTTGTGCGTGTGTGGGTGTGTGTGTGTGTGTGTTTGATACCGTGGACCGTGGACTGTGGACCATGGCCTGGACCGTGGCCTGGACCGTGGACTGGACCATGGACTGGACCGTGGATCGTGGACTGTGGACCGTGGCCTGTGGACCGTGGACTGTGGACTGTGGACTGGAGTATTTCTCTGCTCTATTTGGATCCATCCATTTTCTCATTTACAGGAAATTTGGGGAAATTGTTCTATTCCATTTTCTGGATGCTTGTGTGTGTGTGTGTGTGTGTGTGTGTGTGTGCGTGTGTGTGTGTGTGCTCCTGATAGACATCAGGGAACCAGATAGCTGTAAGCTAAAGGCATGAAAAGAGGAGGGGAGGACATTAATCTAAAGAAAATTAAAATCTGGAGCAGTGAGTTTAGGACGGAAAACCAACGCCACGTCTGATAAGGAGAGAAAAGATGTAGATAAATGGACAGGAGAGAGGAGGGGAGGAGAGAGGAGGGGAGGAGAGAGGAAGAGAGGAAAGAGGAGGGGAGGAGAGGGAAGGAGAGGAGAAGAGAGGAAAGGAGGGGAGGAGAGAGGAGAGAGGAGAGGAGATAGTGGGAAAAGGGTTAGTGATGAATGACTAGAGGAGACAGACTTGTTTGAATGTGGTGACAAAAGAGGTGACCAATCACAGCGCAGAGTGTGTCCATGTGACGCAGCATATGTAGATGAACATGGACCTGTGTTCTTGACCATCAATAACATTCAGTTATCTGGACTATGGTCTGGTCTCACACACACACACACACAGTGAGTGATGGTGGTGCCGGGGGGGGGTGGGGGGGTGGGGGGGGTTCTGTCTGAGGTTAGCCCAGCTAATCTAAACACAATGTTTTAGATTTAACACTGTGGTCATCAGACAAGATGGACGGAAGATTCAACTGCTGTCTGGGCTGTCCACTGATCCACTGAACCACTGAACCACTGAGTCACTGATCCACTGAGTCACTGAGTCACTGATCCACTGAGTCACTGTGTAGTCAGAGCATGGTGTGTGTGTGTGTGTGTGTGGTAGAGATAGAGAGAGAGGGAGAGAGATAATCTCTTCAATATTGTCACCATGAAATTGACATTTGACAGTAATTGTGTACCCAGTCTGTCCTGCACTCTGATTGGTTGATGTTTTTATATACACACACTTTGACCGGTTACACATACTGATGCTAAATGACACAATTACAGCAGCAGAACATTGTGGACGGAGAAAGGAAGGGACGGATGGACTGGGACGAGAACCACTCAGAGGTCAACACTCTGGTAATCTGAGCACACAGAGTAACACTGGTAATCTGAGTACACAGAGTAACACTGGTAACCTGAGTACACAGAGTAACACTCTGGTAATCTGAGCACACAGAGTAACACTCTGGGAATCTGAGCACACAGAGTAACACTCTGGTAATCTGAGTACACAGAGTAACGGATGATGATTTCTTATTGTCGAGTGGCGCTTTGGCCCAGAGGCAATGTCTCTGTCATTGGTGTGGAACCCCAGGGTTCACCTCCTGGGCAAGTTCGAATCTCGGTTAGGGCAGTTGGTACCTTCCAGTGGACTCACCACCCGCAGGAAGGTTTGGGAGGTTGGTACGGTGCAATGTGATTTGGGTGGCGACTGTTGCCCCCGCGACCCGGTAACGGATAAGCGGATGAAAATGGATGGATGGATGGATGGATTTCTTATTGTGTCTTGCGTGGTGCCGTTTCCTCCTGGTTTGGTTCAGTCCTCTTCACTTTGTATGATGAATGAACAACTAACCATAATCGCTAATCCCTAATCTACAAGGATTTGGACTGTGGGAGGAATGTGGAGAAAACACACCCACAAACACCTGGAGAACGCCATGAGACCAGAGCAGTCAACTGGTGACCTTCTCCTTCTCCTCCTCCTCCTGCTCCTGCTCCTCCTGCTGCTGCTCCTTCTTCTTGTGAAGCAGCTGAGTAAATAAGTGATTAAACCTGGTCTTATTTCAACCCACCACCTTCACCAGTCATGTAGAGTTCATTTAAACTTTTTACACAGAAGAATAAAATATTGTCTGGTGCCACAGACTGAACCTCCTTCTGCTTCTGTCTCCTCCGTTTCCTCCAAGAACCTTGGACTGGACCTACAGCCATGCAGCACTGATTAAAGCAAATAATTAGCTGTGTGTGTGTGTGTGTGTTTGATTTTTATCATAGTTTTGAGGTCATCCTCTTCTTGTCCAATCATCTGTGAGCTCCCCGCGGGCAGACACTAATTAAAATCAATAGTCTCCTCAGACTGACACTGAAGCTGCAGCTACGACAGACAACAGATCAACCAGCAGGAACAGAGCGGCTCAAAGGAGCACTGACAGAACACAACTGACACAACTGTCACCATCGATAACAAAGACTTCACGCACACTGTTTCACCTGTGTGTGTGCGTGTGTAAAGGTATGGAGAGATGAAAGAAAAGAAAGGAAAAAAGGTCACAGGGTCAGTGTTGACCTGCAGATGAGATAAACACCACAGTACCTTAAAGTACTCCACAGTACACTACAGTACACCACAGTACACCACAGTACCTTAAAGTACAGTACAGTCATCAATGACCTGGTACTGATGAGAACTGACTCAATCTTTTCTTTTGGTGTTTTTGGTTCCGCCCAAGAATTTTCATTTCTAATCTTAATGCTAATTGTTGGCTGATGCTAATTCACTCAGGATTGACCAGCATTAGAAGGAGAGTCAGGACTGGACCAGGACTGGACCAGGACCGGACCAACATGGTTCACTCAGCGTTTACACTGCACTGTTGTCATTTATTATATGATGGACAAAATGAAAGTGTGGAGCCGGCACTGTGTGTGTGTGTGTGTGTGTGTTGGGGTCATCAACAGCAGAGTGGATACATTGTGTTGTGCAGATAAAAGATTTCCATGGACAGATCAATAGGCCATATCAGCTGCTGTTAAATTACTGATAACACTATTTGCTTTATTTGCTCTTTTCCTGCTGCACACACACACACACACACACAAGCCACATTTCTCTGCCTACAGCTCTGCTGTTAGACTTGACAGCTGTGTGTGTGTGTGTGTGTGTGCTCCTCTCAGGATAGTAGAACTTACGACCATCAGCAGCGTCTGGTACCGATGTTTCTGTTGTAGTGCTGCAGCAGAACTCAACATCTACTGTCTGACTTTATATGATGATTATTTCATTCAATAAGAAGTCGTATCATAAACACCTGAGGTCTTTACCATGAATAAAAATCATTATCACCATCATCATCACCATCATCACCATCATCATCACCATCATCAAAAAAGAAATCAAGTGTAGCTAGTCTAACAGTGTTCAACCTCAGCTCAGGACAACGTCTTTCAGTCAACAGACTAGTTGGCACTGGGAACAGTTATGTCAACGACTGTTTGTTTTTTTTTCTGTTTCTCTGTAACTTGATGAGATCATAATTAAATACAGAAGGAGTGGAAATATGTGGTTAACACTCAGTCAGTGTAGTATTAGTACTGCAGTACTGGTGTCAGTAATACTCCTCTGTGTTGTGTGTAATTTATGAGGTTACAGCAGCACAGGGTGAGGTTGGGGGGGCAGAGATTTCCCCTCACTGTCCTTCTAAATGTGGTCAGATTAGACACAGTAGCTGGCCAGTGTGTGTGTGTGTGTGTCTCCTCTCTGCACTAAAGTGTATTTTATTGGAGTTAACACTAAGGTCAAATATAGCAGATTTATTTCTGTGGATTACTAGCTCTCTGCTAGTAAGTCCATAAAACAGAAACCAATCACTGACACACACACACACACACACACACACAGTGCGACGATCCTCTCAGAGTCTAGTGTTCTGTTCATGTTAAAGTACTTCAGATCTTTAGACTCAGAGACTTCAGACAGACACTAACTCTCTCTCTCTCTACACGTGTCATTGTCTCTCCACCTTGCCGTCCTGAGCTCACACTGTTATCCAGTGGTCCCTCTCCTATCACAGTACTTCCGTTCTAAGACCCACCGCGAAAAGGTAAAATCTGCGAAGTAGAGGTGACCATTGCCGTGCAGTGAGGTTCATGTCTGCTGAGGCACTGACTTCTCTGGAGTCAGATTTACATCTGTTCTATGTGATGGATATGGAACATCTAAACATGTCCATATCCATCAACGCTCCTCTTTCAGTGACACTGACACCTACAACAACATATTCACAGAAACACATCTGTTCTACAAAGAACGATTCTTTATACAGATGGACAGAACACCTTCCTGTGTCTAAGAAATTCATATTTACTGCAAACAAATTAAAGTCTAGAGATGAGTGCAGCACTAATTTAATTTGGTCCTTCGGGATACAATGTCAGTTATTTTTCAAACTTTAAATTTTGCTGCTTTATCAATTTTAATAAGAAACACATTTTAGGCCAAAACTTTAGTTATCAAATACTTTTTCCTACTTACTCCCATCTTCTTTTTAAAACCAAAAACTTCAAACCATAGTCAGCCTTACCTTTACTTCTAGCTGAAGTCCGTGGTTGTGTCTCTGGGTTTCCCCTCACCTTAACATCGTCGAGGCTAATGTTTAGTCTCCGTTGTTCATCCGATGACAAATCCTTGAATTTCCAGAAGTTTCTAAATAAATCTGTCTTTGAATGTTCGTGTCTGATCTTCCATGTCTGCTGAGGCTTCTTTGTAAATGTTTCAGGTCACAGTATTCCGAGTTCGTCCAGACGTTATAACACGACGACAATAAAAAACAAGGACAGCAGTAATGGCGGGTTTTGACCGGACAGACACACAGACAGTCTCTTCGTTTGTACCTCTACATTTAAAACCAACGACTCTTCTGGCCCGTAGTTTGAAGCTAACCTGTTAGCTCCGGCGTTAGCTTCAATTATCAACTTCCGTTTTGACCGGAAGTCCAGATTGGAGAGATGTTTCCGTCTTGAAACATAATCCATAGTAAGTCCGTTTGGACCGGAAGTCCAGTTTGGAGAGATGTTTCCGTCTTGAAACATAATCCATAGTAAGTCTGATCAGACGGAGCATAGACAACGGTGGCTGTAGTTTGGCGCCGATTTACATATGTCAGTTGACGCCAGCTGGAGAGCACCTGTCAGTTCAGGTTCGACCCCTTGGGGCGAGGCAGAGTACTGGTTGCCTCCCGGCTGATTTTTCGCTGCACTTTATTGGCGGAGGAAAAGAAAGCGACACGCATCACGTGAGGCACTGCCTCCCCTGACCGCACGTCACTGCCCTAGACTGTATCAACCCCCACACGCAGTTATCTTCACAGTAAAGTTGTAGAATGTAAAAATAAGACAAACATATGACATCAATAAATGTAATACACGACCGGTGACAGAGGTGAAGCCCCTGACGGAGGTGAAGGCAGTTGGAGTAATCTTCTCCTCTCCTCATATCAGGAGGAGCCGGGACCAAGGAGAGAGGGGAGTGAACAGAGGAGAGATACTGGCCAAGACGGACGGACCGTAGATGAAGGCCGGGCACAGGCAGGAGCGGACATTATTGTTAACTGTCATCTGTGTCAGCGTCTTGGTTTGGACTTAACAGAAGTGGGAGAAGATGATCGGAGGAGTTTAGGAGAGTGAAGGAGCCAATCAGAGTGAGGGACAGGAGAACATCATCAATGCTGTGTCCATCTCCAGACATGTCTTTAGTTGATTTTTTGCTATAATTTTACTGTTTGATTTTTTAGGTTAGAAAATGTTTTTATCACGAAAATAATAAAAATCAAAAAAACATGTTCCATAAAATACCGCGATATTCGCGTGATTGGAATAAAAAAAATCCGCAAAGTACTGAGAAAGCGAAAGGAGAACCGCGATACAGAGAGGGACCACTGTATAGGTGTCTGTACATGTGACAATAAAGCCAACTGAAGGGGGGGGGGGGAGGGAGGGGGGCGACGGACAGGAAATGCAGACCAAACGTAGACTGGATCTGATGGTTTGGTTTTAGTTTCACTGTTTCTACAAATCTTCCTCCTTAGCCACACACACACACACACACACAGAGATAAGATCTAACCTGAGGAATTAATTAAATATTATAGATGATTAAAAATAGCATAACTAATAGTGTAATATCTCAAGCTGTCGACTTTAATAGTCAACACTGTGTGTGTGTGTGTGTGTGTCTTATCTGCTGCAGACAGACGCTCTCTCTATTGATTCTTGTTCATTTTGGTTGTCAGGCAGAATCATTAAACTCTACTGTCTGCCTCCCCCTCCCTCTCCCTCTCTCTCTCTCTCCTTGTGTGTATGTTAGCAGATTGTTCTGCATTTGTCAGTGATATTTTACCTTTAGCTGTTTGTGTCAGTCAGTGTGTGTGTGTGTGTGTTCATCCTTTACCCCTTTAAACAGTGACAAAAACCCTTTGTTCTGCAGGATGTGCCGACACTCAACGTCACTGATATTGTTGTCCCTAGAACTTTTCCCTCTGTTCCAGGAGCAGAGCAGGTGCCGACGTGTCCCCGATCGGAGACGACGTCACTTCAGCCTCAGATCAAACTGTTTCCACCTGACGTCGGAAACAAAGTCAGAACATGATCTGGGTGAAAAGTCGGTCCTTTGTCCGTCTGCGTCCGTGGAGCCGTGGGTCGTGGTTCAGCTCATGGTCAGGCCAACTGCTGACCAGGCACACACACACACACACACACACACACACACACACAGTGAAATAACTCGCAGCAGATCAATATTTATGAATTTATGAAGCGCTGTGCTCCTGACAAACCACTGAGCCACAGCCAGGTTATAGCAGCTCAGTCAAAGAGTCAGAGGTTTGATTTTATTGTCTGCTAATTGATTGGTCAGTTAATCAGTCAACAGCCTCTCCACAAGCCCCGCCCTAACAAACACCAGGAACTGGAATGATGTCACCTCTTGTGTGTGTATGGGGGGTGGGGGGGAGGAGGGGGTTGAGGGGTGGTGAAACTCATCTTTAATGTTCATGTTCCCATGTTGAACATCAAACACTAGACCAAAAACATACATTTCTAAAGTGTACAACACTAGGTCAGAGGTCAGAGGTTATAGCCAGGCCCAGGATGGATTCTCTGTGAGCACTTAAAGGGAGTGGGAGTGGGGGGGGGGGGGGGGTGGGGGGGGGGGAGTCACCGTCTTACCTGTCTTTCTATGGTGACTGGAGGAGTTCATCCAACGACCTGTGGGTGGAGCCACGGAGGTGAGAGGAGGCCACACTTCATGCCCTTTGACCATGAGGGTTTGAACCCACCTGTCAGATGGTACTGACAGAAACAGAACCACCAGGAGGTCCAGGAGGTCCAGGGTGGTCAGTGGTCTCCATCACCACAGAGGAAGAGGAGGAAGAGGAGCCACTGCTCTAGAGGAATGTCACAGAGAGGTGGGGGGTGAGGGGGTGAGGGGGGGGGCAGCAGGGACATGAGCCTCAGCAGTAACAAGTGTGAGAGCAGCAGCTGCAGCTGCTAATTATAGTAATTATGATTCATTAGAGCTCAGTTAATTTAATAAAGAGGTGGTTGAGCAGAGCTCGTTAACCTTCATTAGAATAATTATAGACACACACACACACAGAGGTAGAGACAAGAGTGTGTTTGACTCTCTCTCTCTCTCTCTCTCTCATTGTGTCTGTGTGTTTATTAAATAACAGATACATTTAACTGATCCTCAAATTAAATTAGACTCTCTCTCTCTCTCTCTCTCTCTCTCAATAGTTATTAAATTAATACTATTGAAATACTACTACTAGTAGTACTACTACTAGTACTACTAATAATAATAATCATTATAATAATAATTAGATTAATGTAATGTAACAACAGTAATAAAGAATGATTTTTAAATATTAATTCACCGTAGAATGTGGTGTAAAAGGCGGGAAGTGCTGGCGTTTCTCTCGGCCGTGAACATGTCTGCAGTGTGTGTGTGCGTGTGTGTGTACAGTGTGTGTGTTCATTGTAGTTTCTCCCGGTTCTTAAAATGCTAATATTTCCCAGGAGACTAAGCGGCAGCGGCGTGAAGTTAAGACGTTTACTCTTTTAAAATAAAGTCATAAAGCGTGCGGACGGAAGCAGGAAGTAGATTAAAAGGCTCGTAATGGGTTCAGCTCTCTGATTGGCTAATCATGTTTCATTATTTCAGTCATTATTTTGCTCAACTTTTAATTTCGCCCCCCTCCGGATCATTGAGCAAGGCAATTACTTAGAGCTGACCTTGTGTTTGTGTCGGGAGGGGGGGGGGGGGGGGGGGGGGGGGGGGTACGGAGGATGTCCCGCCGCGCTGCTTCTTCTGCTTATTTATTTCACAACTATATATATATATATGTGTGTGTGTGTCTTAAAAAGCGTGTGTCGTCACTGCTTCACTGCCGGGACTCAAACCAAGAGTCAATGGAAAATAAAGTATTAGAATAAAGACGTCGTGTGTTAAATCAAAATCCAATTCTGTGCTCTATTATTTTCTGGCATAGTAATGACGCCGAGGATTAGGAATCAATATTTCACTTCAGCCGGGACATTACGGCCTTTATTCAGGCCGTAATTGAGTTTGGAGGCGACGAGCTGCCCTGGAATCTGCATAACAGATAAGAGCGTGAAGGAAAGGCGTCGTCCGCGCCATCATTTGACCCCGTTTGATGGAATTCTTTTGTTGTGGAAGGTATAATTGAGGCTCAACATGAGGCTCTGATCGAAGTGAGGGCTAAAGTAGTGGCTCGTATTTATAAGCTGGTTATGGTTAAGGTAAAACACGAACTGGTCAAGGTTAGGCGTAAAAACATCTGAGACTGTGGAGCTGAAGGAAAACACTGACAGTCGGACTGTCGGACTGTCCGACTGTCGGACTGTCCGACTGTCCGACTGTCGGACTGTCCGCCTTGCACAAACGTTCAAACGTTCAAACGTTCAAAATAAAAGACGGCGCTCTTTGAACTTTGACTCCACCTGCAGGAGATAATAGGCTATTAGTCCAAGTGGGATTAATGAAGCAATTACAAGGTACCAATCTGATGGGAATGTGTAAATAAGGAGAACACACACCGAGAGGGGGAGCAGAGGGAGGAAAGAGAGAGGGGGGAGTAAAAACCAAAAATGGAGCTAAAGGAAAGTGGGGGCTTCACTTAACTAATAGAGGGAGGGGGTGATGGGGCCAGAGGAAGGAGGGGGGGTCATTAAAGACAGAGCAGTCCGTTTGGCTTCACCGCTGAGAAGACGGTCGTCAGGCGGTGGGTTCTGTTGACATAGAGACGCGTGGGTTTACCGTGAGTGTGTGAGACGGCGGGACACGCGGAGCCACGGAGCACACACACACACACACACACACTGCCTCACACACACTCGGAGGACAGAGGATGACGGAACAGACACGGGGAGAAGTTTGACAGGAGTGTGATCCACCTTAAAGTCGGTCCAGGGTCCAGGGTCCAGGGTCCAGGGTCTAGGGTCCAGGGTCGGCTCTCAGACAGTGACGAGTGGAAGAGTTGAGCCGAGCATCGTCAGCTGGTGTGGAGGACCAGGATCTGATGTGGAGAACCAGGATCTGATGTGGAGAACCAGGATCTGATGTGGAGAACCAGGATCTGTCCTTTCTGAGAAAAGTGCAGCGGGATCTTTGTTGTTCATTTGTCGCCGCTCCTCCTTCACATCCGCGGACTTTCAATTGATGGGAAAAGGTGAGTAAAATGATGAACCGGGACAGAACGGTGCCGGAGCCCGCACTGGAGGGAATCGAGACCGTGATGAGCCGCGACAGAGCGGCACCAGGTCCTGACGGGGACGGGGTCCAGACGGTTGTGGGCCCAGACGGCGGGGACACGGTGGACGGAGACAGTCAGCGGCTTTTCTCGGGCTCGGGAGGCAGAGACGGCCAGGCCATGGAGAACCACACCGAACCGGGTCCCACCAACCCGGTGTTAGCGCCGCCACCGCAGGTACTGAACACGGACGCGTTCAGACTGGTTTTTCACAGAAACCGAGGACCAGAAAAAGTGAAAAATCTGTGAAAAAATAAAATAAAATGAAAACGAGAAGGGGAAAAAATACAAGTATAATAATTATAATGAAGTACTTTAATCAAGTATTTACTTGTTTGTTTACTAAAAGTATAATTACTACAGGATTATAATCCACCAAACGATGGTATTAATTATATTTTTACGTCACCAAAGTTTTCACCGATCAAACCAGAATCCGCCTTTAGTTTGATTTCTGTTCAAAAGTATCAAAGTGACTGAAGACGCCACACATTTATGACGAACAACGAACAACGTCAGGTCGACCGTCGGTCCTGAAGTGACGTCGGAGTCAAAGTCAAAAAGATCAAATAAAACAATGTTGAAAATGTTTGACCGCGAAAACAATCAAAACTTTTTTGAAACATCTGTTTTAAATATAAATTCAAATCTAAATCAAACTCAAATTTTCTTTATATTAAACCAACATTTAACAAATATTCTCAGCGAATGACAATTTTAAAATCGTTATTTTCACTTTATTCTAAATGTTACAAACACCCTGGATGGAATCCGTAATATTATTGGTGACACATTGATCCTAATGATTGTGTGTATCAGATCATCGGTGTGTGTGTGTGTGTGTGTGTGTGTGTGTGTTGCTGAGGGGCCGCTCCAACAGCAGCTCGTTTAAAATGAATGATCGGGATCAAAGCGCCACCTTTTATCAGCCGATTACACTCACACACCTTCTGACTCCTGACATCAATCCTGCGTGAATAAATCCCGGCCTCGTGTCAGCGCCACGACCCGCGGCATCAGCGCGGAGCGTCACGGGGTCCGAGCCCCTGCCGGGACGGAAGAGAATTTTCAGAAAACATTTCATCCATTCTTTAATAATTTGAGATGAATGTTCACAACCGAAGCTGCTCCCACGGCCGCGCACACGCCTGAAGCCCGCGAAACTACAGTGGCCTCGACTGATTGACCGGCTGCCTTTTCCCACTGGCCGCTGCAGGTCGGACAAAAGAACTGACGCTGTTCTGGCTCCGACCTCAGCCTCCAACCACGAACAATCTGAAAATACTTCACATTTTATTTGATACATTCTCTTTATAAGTGAAGGGAAATAAGCAGAGCATCAAAAGTTATATTACAATATGTACAACATGTACTGTCACTAGTACTAATATCACCGCTAATAACAAATCAAATAAACAAAATAATAATAATGATAACAATAATAATAACTATATTAATAATTCTATAATACGTGTAAAATATACTCAAATGTCTGGTTAAATTCATTGTTTAATTTTCTAAAGAACTGAATTTTTTATTTAAAAAACTGTTGTTTTTTCTTCTGCTGCCGCTGATTGTAATTTAATAATAAGAATTATCATGATGACAATAAATATAATAATGATGTTGACGCTGTGAATTATCAGCTTTTATTGAAATGTAAATTTTTTTATTAGATTTGAAGTGATTTAATGATCAGATATAATTCTAATAATTTAAACTTCTGTTACATTAGACTGTCGTGGTAAATGTGGAGGAAATAATAATCAATAATATTGTTGTATTATTATCCCATCTGATGTTTTTTTATTTTTATTATTATTATTATTATTATCCGCGTACTCATTCGTAACTGTCACTCGTTGTGTCAGGGCCTGAACGCACACCGAACCACCTCCTTCTCTGTACTGGACATTCTGGACCCGAACAAGTTCACCAGCAGCCGGCGGCAGCAGCAGCAACTCGACGCTTACGGAGCGGAGAACCGCAGAACCGGAGCGGAGGAGCGAGAGCCGCGACCACAGGAGGCCAAAGGCCGCTACGTTGATGAGGATCAGCCCAGCAGTAAGTCTGATTTACACACGCACACAGTGAGGGTCTGTGGGGGCAAACTGCAGGGTTAGGGTCGGGGTCAAACCTCACAACACCGTCAACAGTGACCGCAGCTCCGTCGACTTTTTATTGAGTTTTAAATGACCGTATTTTGGGCCTCGCGCGCGCGCGCGCACACACACACACACACACGGCGCGGGGTGAAAAGATAAATGCGTAGAAATATATTATATATTTTTAAAAACCGCACTGATATTTTGAGCGACACGAGTTCTTTAGAAATGTAAAAGGAAGTTAAATGAATTTTCAGCTGATCAGTGAAACATTTTCTCTGTTTATTAACAATTAAAATAGAACCGGTAATAAATATTTTAAATGTTTTTATATTAATAATTATTATCATTATTGTTTTCTTACACTAGCCCTTTTTAAACATTTTTTCTCGACGTCCGTTCGTCGGTGTTAGTTTTTAAGTTTGATCTGAAATTTCCCCAATAAACTGAACGCTTTGATATTTTTTACTGAACTGAAGGTGTGACGTGGTGAGATTTAAAGTCGGATCAGATTTTTCCCGCTTATGTCTTTGTAACTAATTATTTAGAAAATACTTAAATAATGACGTAAATTATATATTACATTATATTAAGATATATATATATTATATATGTGAAATGAGCCTAAAGGTATTGTTGTATTTAACAGAGTCAATTGAAAAAACAGGAGTCATTCTGAAATGTTAAAACCCAACCGTGAGCAGCCAGACACCAGCACTGCAGGCCAACCAGCCATCAAACAAACAAACAACTGGATTAACTGAACTGAACTGGTATTTCCTCCTGGCGTCTCACTGGATTGGTTGTGATTTTTTTGTTTTCCAGAAGAAATGTTCACATACCGAGGTCCAGGTGAAGAGGACTACCTCAGACCTGGGAGTCCGGACTCTGAGGCTCCAGACGGAGCCTACAGCAGCGAGGAGAGCAGCTCAGCTCTGGCCAACATGGTGGAGAGAGACCTGGGCCCCCACAGTCACCAGGACTCCTCCAGGGACACCAAGAGCCCAGGGGGGGGGGCAGCGGGCCACATCTCCAACGTCCAGAGCGGCAGCAGCAGCCAGGGCAGCAAGCCCAAGAGGAAGCGCTCAGGCTCAGACTCCAAGTCTGGAAAGCCGCGTAGAGCCCGGACTGCCTTCACCTACGAGCAGCTGGTGGCGCTAGAGAACAAGTTCAAGTCCACCCGCTACCTGTCAGTTTGTGAGCGGCTAAACCTGGCCCTGTCGCTCTCACTCACCGAAACCCAGGTCAAGATCTGGTTCCAAAACCGGCGGACCAAGTGGAAGAAACAAAACCCTGGTGCGGACACCTCCGCCCCAGCCGGTGCAGGAGGAGCAGGAGGAGCAGGAGGTCCAGGGGGAGCAGGGGGAGGCCTGGGAAGTCTCAGTCCTCTTAGCCCATCCCCACCTGTCAGTGGTCACCTGGCCATGCATGCGGGCTACGCCAGCCACCACCACCCCCCCACCAGCAGCTTGGTCCAGCTGCCTTTCCTCACGGCCAGTCACGTCCTATCGCCCTTTATGTTGGGAACCCAGAGTTACGCTGCACCAGCCTTCTATAGTACACACCTGTGAACGGGGGGGGCTGAGTGGGACTGACGTGAGCAGCAGCAGCAGCAGCAGCAGCAGCACCGACTCTGCTCGTCTTTTTACCCCCCCTTGACCCCTCCCACTTTGATAGGTGACCCTCAGACAGTGTACAGACGTTTCTGTTGTAGCTCTTCTTCTGAATGCTGTTTTAAAGCCTGTGATAGACAAATAGTTCAGTACTTTGTTTTGGAAAAAAAATCTGTATAAATATTGAATGTTTATTTATGATCTACGGAATGACGCCATCTATTGTCGGTACTGTGTAACTCCAGCAGTGGTTGTTTAATTTCTCACAGTTGAGTTTCCAGGTGATGAGTGGATGTAAGTGACCATCACTCTACGTGTCTTTGATATTAAAACACTTGGAACAAACCTCCGTCCCCTCATTTTACTGATCTGATCTCTGCAGGGCCGCACCTCCACTGGGTGGTCACTGGGGGAGCTACACAAACAGGGGACTGGGCTAAAACTTTCAGTTTCATCATCAAACTTCCACCCCATCCCACCCTACCTTCCTGTTCAACTCAGTGACTTCCTGTTCTCCTCAGTGACTTCCTGTTTACTTCAGTGACTTCCTGTTTTCCTCAGTGACTTCCTGTTTTCCTCAGTGACTTCCTGTTTTCCTCAGTGACTTCCTGTTTTCCTCAGTGACTTCCTGTTTACCTCAGTGACTTCCTGTTTTCCTCAGTGACTTCCTGTTCACCTCAGTGACTTCCTGTTGTCCTGAGTGACTTCCTGTTTTCCTGAGTGACTGCAGCAGCTGCAGTAAAAAACACAACAGACAGTTTTATGTGGGTGACTTTTTATTTCTCAGACTTTGATTGACAGATCCTTGAACACTGACTCCACCCACACACAAACCCTAACCCACACTGTGTAACTCGCAGCAGCTGCAGTAAAAAACACAACAGACAGTTTTATGTGGGTGACTTTTTATTTCTCAGACTTTGATTGACAGATCCTTGAACACTGACTCCACCCACACACAAACCCTAACCCACACTGTGTAACGGGTCAAACTCTACCGTACCGTACCGTACCGTACCGTACAGCTCCCCTACCACCAATCCTGGGCTATTGGACCCAGTGGGTTCTATCTCCAAACTGAACTCAGGTGTGGATTGATATAAAAATTCCAATGGCTGCCCCCAGTGGTGAAAATAAACAGGACACTGAGGCTGGAGTGACTCAGTCGGAGGCTGACGTTGTTGTTGTTGTTGTTGTTGTTGTTGTTGGACTCAGTTGAGGGCGTAGTTGAACTGGTTGGAGAACTTGTCGTGTTTCCTGCTGTCGGCCGTCTTCATCACCTCAGCCACTCTGCGCATGGAGCTCCTGCAGAAGAAGACAACAGACAGGAAATGAGTCGGTGAGGAGGGAAGAGCACAGACCGCAGTCACTCCGCTGACACCCCCCGGTTCAGGCGGACATACTGTTCGACAGCTGAACCTACTTGTTGAAGACTTTTCTCTGGAGGCGGGAACGAGACGTGTCGGAGCTCTGCTTCAGATCACTGAGGTTTGGAAACTTTTTCTTCTTCCCTTTCCCTTTTCTACGGACGCGGTCGGAGCCCAGGTTTTCCCCAGTGGCCGCTTCAATGTCACGCATCAGCTCTTCATCACGCCAGTCTGTTTCAAAACAACGGCGTGGACGGTTACAGCTGGTCTGGAGTCGGCCTCTGCAGTGAGGCCTTCACTGGTCACAGGTCATTACAGTGAAGACCAACCGCAACGGTTCTGTGATGTCATCGAGGTTAAAGGTCAAACACAGAGACTGTACCAGTGTACCAGTGTACCAGTGTACCAGTGGTCCAGTGTACCAGTG